ACAGATAGGAGCATATATTGTTTCCAGGATGACATGAAGAAAAGATCAGAAAATAAGAACCCAGTGGGCCTGGAAATTCGAAATGTTGTTAAGATTAAAAAAGAGATGACAAAAAGGTTAGTGAAAGTGGTTATAAAATAAGAAAATTTTCCCAGAACACAGTGGGGGAAAAGGGGGAGACCCAACCAACTAAACTTGAAACCCTCAATGTCTAAAACAGTTATTCAAATCTACAGATTCAGAGGTAAAAGGAAATGACTCAAAAATATATACTCTGTTCAGTTATTCATGTGTGAAGGCAAGATATTTGTGCAAGGTACACTGTGCTGAGCAGAGCATAACCTACACCTGAAACTAATGTAACATCGTGTGTCAACCAAACTTCAATTAAAACAAATCGTTGTGCAAAGGCTCAAAAAATATTTCTCTCCTGCACCATCTATGTTGGTCACACAATTTTCTTTAAGATTTTATTTATTTATTGGAGTGAGAGAACAAGGGAAGGGAAGGGGCAGGGCGAGAAGGAGAAGCAGACTCTCCTCTGAACAGGGAGCCCAACACCGGGCTCGATCCCATGACTCTGAGATCATAATCTGGGCCGAAGGCAGACACTTAACTGACTGAGCCACCTAGATGTCCCAGTCACACAATTTTTAATGCCATTTCTTTACTTCTGGGCAAAGGTAAGCTGCATCTTCCTGCTCCTTGGACTAATAGGTATCACTTTGGCAGAATTCCCAGCTAACACCTGATTAGCCATGCTCACTTCTCCTCTGTTACAGTGGCTGTCATTTCATATGGCTGCTACTCATCAGCCAGAGACAGAGTCGAAGGTGAGGGTTCCCTGAAGCAGAGGTCATTGAGCCACTGAAATTTTAGAATTGTTTTTGCAATAGAATAATCTACTCCATTCTTACAGACACATTCTCTAGAAAAATTATTTGATGATGTACTACAAAAAAAGAATTAAGAAATCAATACCAGCAAAGTTTTGTTCAAAGGAAGTAGAAGGCATCACCAAGCCAGTTAAAATAGTGATGTCTAAAACCTATAAATTTTATTTGAAAACAAAAGCACATCTCAAAGGTTATTTTTTTTTTTAATTTTTAAAAGATTTTATTTATTTATTTATTTATTTATTTATTTATTTATTTTGGAGAGAGAAAGAGAGATCACAGAGGAAGAGGGAGAAACAGACTCATCACTGAGCAGGGAGCCCAATGTGGGGCTCCATCCCAAGACCCTGAGATCAGGACCTGAGCCAAGGCAGAAGCTCAACTGACTGAGCCATCCTGGTGCCCCTCAAAAATTACTTTAAGATAGTGAAAAAATTAAATTAAATTAAAAAATGAAAAAAAAATATTTGGTATAATTCTTCAGGGAATAAATAAATAAATAAAAACAAAAAATAAAATAGTGATTCTCAAAGTATGGTCCGGGGACCCCTGGGATTATATAAGACCCTTTTAGGTATGACCAGGGTCAAAACTGTTTTCATAATAGTACTAAAACATTATTAACCTTTTTCCTCTCTTGTCATGTCACACATGTATAGTGGAATTTCCCAAGGAATACATGTTCTGTGGCATCGCAAAAGATTGAATGCAGAGCTGATAGGAGAATCTAGCTATCTTCTACTGAGGCAACTATTAAAGAGATCTGTGAAAATATAAAGCATTGCTAATCTTATTAATTTACTTTCTTTTAGAAAACACAGCTATTTTTCATAAAATATGTCATTTATATTAGCAGGTAATGAGTACATTATTTTTTTAATGAACAAATAAATATTTAAGTGCCCAGTTTTAATTCTTAATATGGCAAATATCATATAGATATAATCATAAAGATGGGGTTCTCACTGATTTCCTATTCTCAAATCATCTAAGAGATACTGTTTGTTCAAAGTAATAATAGCAACTATGTGATTAGAGCATTTGGATAAGCAAAATGACAACAGAAATGTTGATAAGGACAGGAAGGAGAAGTTGGTGACATTCTAAGATTCCTGCATCTCCCATGAAGCAGGACAATGTAATTTGAAAACATGGATATGAAGAAAATAAATGATATTAAGCAAAGTAAAAATAAATAAGTAAATAAATAACGAACAGATATGACTAGTTGTAAATATATATTGCAACCTCTAGGGAAAGCGCTAAAAATGTTTTAAAAGAAACATAATTCATATACCAGGAGAGAAGAGAAAATGGGGTCATAAAATGTTCAAATAAAACCATAAAAGGCAGAAAAAGATAAGAAGAAAAAGTAGGAACAGAGACAAAAATAATGAGTAGAGAACAGTTGCAAACATGTAGCTATTAATCCAAGTACACAAATACTCTATCTGTGAATGATCTCAATGTAACAATTAAAAGACAAAGATCAATAGAGTGAAAAAATAAAACAAAAAAACACCCAACTATATGCTGTCCATAAGAAAGCCACCATAAACATAAAAACATAGATAAGGTGAGAGGGAAGGGATGGAGAAAGATATACCATGCCAGCTTTAATCAAAGGAAAGCCATAGTAGCTATATTAATTTCAGACAAAGAAGGCTTCAGAACAAGGAAAATTGTCAGAGCTAAAAATGAGCATTATATAGTGAGAAGAGGGGTCAGTTTCTCCAGGAAGACACAGGAATCCTTCATATGCATGCAACTAACAAAGTAGCATCAAAGTACATGATCCAAAAATTGATAGAACTACAAGGAGAAATAGATGAGTCCTCTACAACTGTTGGAGACTTCAATGCCCCTATTCTAGTAATTAATAGATCAAGCAAGCAGAAAATCAGTAGGAATATAGTTGACCCGAAAAGCACCATCAATCAACCTGATCTAATTGCCATTTATAGAAAATTCCACTCAACAACAACAAAATACACATACCCCTCAAGCTCACATATGCCATAAAATATGCCATATTCTGAGCTATAAAACATACCCTAAAAATTTTTAAGGATAGAAATCATTTAAAAATATGTTCTTGGAGCATAATGAAATAGAAGTAGAAGTAACAGACAGCTGGAAAATTCCCGCAAATACTTGGAATTAAAGAACACACTTCTAGGTTAAAGAGGAAATATCAAGAGAAATTATAAAATATTTTGAGCTAAATGAAAATAAAAACACAGCTTATTAAAATTTAAGGGATGTAGCAAAAGCAGTGCTTAGGAAAATATACAGCACTGAATGCACATATTAGACAAGAAGAAAGATCTAAATGAATAATCTAAACTTCCACCTGTAGAAACCAAAGAAAAAAGAGAAACTGACACCTAATGCAAGCAGAAAAAAATAAATCATAAAAATTAGAGTAGAAATCAATGAAACTGAAAACAGGAAAACATTGGAGAATATCAATGAAGTCAAAGCTGATTTTGGGGGGAAAATCAATAAAGTTGATAGACCTCTAGAAAAGCTAACAAAGAGAGAAGATAGACATTACTAATATCAGAAATGAAAGAGGGATCATCACTATTAATCCCATGGATGTTAAAAAGATAGCAGAGAAATAATACCACGGAAAACTCTACGACAAAGAATTTGGTAGAAGATGAAACAGACAAATTCCTTAACATACACAAACTACCAAAGTTCACACAAGCAGAAACAATCACCTGAATAACCTATATCTACTAAAAGAATTGGATCGTTGGTTAACAGACCTCCAAAAGGGGTGTCTGGGTGGCTTAGTTGGATGAGCACTTGACTCTTGAGTTAGGCTAAAGTCATGATCTCAGTGTGTGGGATCAAGGCAGCATCAGACTCCTTGTTCAGCTTGAAGTCTGCTTGTGATTCTCTCTCTCCCTCTCCCTGTGCCCTCCTCCCCAACCACACCCCACTCATGGTTGTGTGTGCACACACGCATGGGCTCTCTCTCTCTCTCTCAAACAAACAAATAAATAAATAAATAAAATCTTAAAAAAAAATAGATCTCCAAAAAAGAAAAGCACCAGACCCACGTGGTATCACGAGTGAATTCTATAGAACATTTAAAGAAAAAAATAATACCAGTTTCCTCCAATCTCTGCCAGAAAATAGAAGAAGAGGCATCACACCCCAATTCATTTTATGAGGTCAGCGTTACCCCACTCTCACTTCTCAGTGCCTTCCTTTCCCTGCCTGGAGGCCAAGGACTGGCTGGACTCAAGCGTGCTCATCTCCCATCTCTCGGGACCAGGTGAAGGAGCAGCTGTGGGCTGCATCCTTGGCTTCCAGGAGGGAGGGTGCTGGGTGCTGAGGACTTACCTGGCTTTTCTGCAACGGTGGGTGACTTTCTGGGGTCTGGCCAGCACTAGAGTTGGGTTAGAGGGGTTTCCATACCCTTTTACATTATTTTAATTTCTAACAAGAATGTGTTGATGTCTTTATCTTGTATTTTTAGAAGACAAATTCCCTCCTTCCCTAGTCAAATGTGTAACACCCCGGAACAGATAAAGCAATGTCTCCCTCCCTACCTGGTTGCCCTTGTCAGTATTAGATCTGCTTTCACTTCCCCTAACTAGCTGGTGTTTAGGGGCCCTGCTTAGATGAGCTCTGAGCAGAACTATCTCCCGGCTACCCAGAAACCAGAAGTTTGAAAACAGGCATCCAATTTCAATGTTACTTTTTCTAAAAGAAACTTTTCTGGGCAGAGTTGTCTTTGGGGGATTGGGGTAGGGAGAGAGGAGACGTGGGAGCAATGAGAAGATTTGTAGGGCATGGGAGTCATGGAACCCCGCAGCGAGGCCCCAGGAGGATCAGTTCCACCCATGTCAGTCCAGCTGCATGACTTTTGCAAAAAAATAAAAGGGTGACATGAGTCAAGGTGGCCCCAAGTTTCCCCAGCAGCTAATCTGCTGTGATTTAAGAAATCTGATCTGCCCATTATTGATTTAAGTGGAATCTTTTTCTGTCACATACCTGTGGAATGAGTCTGGGAAGACAGAAATAACCAATGTAGACGCCGACCTTACGGGAGATAGGGATCAAGGACAGGAGGTGAGGACTGACCTGCGGCTGTGCTGGCTGCCTCCACTCGCCATCTTCCACTGCCAGCCCCAATGGGTCATGGGGCTAGCCCAGGATCAGCCTTGAGCAGACGTTTACTCCCTTTGTGCCTCCGTGGAGCTCTGAGGAGAATGTCTACCAATTGATTGATCTCTCAAGTGTGGCACCTAAAGGGTAAAAGTGAAATCGCTAAACAGCGTGATGTGACTGCACTGACACGACGTCCCCCTCCGTGCCCAATTTCTAAGGCGGTTCTCAGCCCTGGGGACGAGGGGCAAGGCCAGCTAGGTTTCCACGGCAGACAGGTCACTGTTTGCGCAAAGGAAGGAGAACAGAAAGGTTGATTTCACGCAAATAGATCCAGGTTGTTCGTGGTGAGGGGGCATAGTATATGGGGGCAGGAAGTGAACCCCATGTTTGCCCCAGCCTCTCTCTGTTCAGGTGGTCGTGAGAAGGAAAGAAGGAAAGCCAGACATTTCAGATCTTCTCTGAAATGGTGGACTGGCCTGGCATGGTACTCAGCCTGAACCAGAACAGCATTATAAGGTGGGAAAGATGTTCCTCAAATTGCCGGAAAGCAGCCAGAGGCCAGAGAAAACTCCCGACTCCTGCAACCAGAGGGAAGTTCCAAGTTTGAGCAGAGAGGCCTGGTGTGCCATTCTAAGTTTTCTTAAATTCACGGGCACTTTACAGATGCATCCAGGGTGATGAGCAAAACTGAGCTTCAACTCATCACTGAAGTCGGGGTGACAGGCTTCCCAAGGGATGGGGAAAGGGTTTGGTACTGACATTACCTAGACCTTAAAGGACGATGTGATGCTAGCTACCAAGGGCATCACATTCATGTTTGTATGTAATTTTTTCACACGTAGCCAGCCTTTCATTCTGTAAAGGATTTGAAGCCACTTACAAAACCCCACTGTATCAGCATAAAGTTGGAAGATAAAGAAACAGGAGCAAAGCACAAATAAAATAAACAAAACTGGAGGACTAGAAATCCTGGTAGGACAATGGATCCAAGACAGGCAAATGGGAGCCAAGGCATCTGTAGAGTCCAGGGCCTCTTATCAGCACAGTGGGCCAAAGCAGGTGAGGCCTGGGGGACCAGAAGCAAAGCAGGATGTTTCTAAAGTATGTTCCACCGAATTCTGCTTCTTCCGGCTCATTATAACTATGCTAGAAATTTGCACAGATCTGTTTGCAAAGTGTAGAGGGCCAGAGACTTCTACCCTTCTGCACACTTCAGCTCTTTCTTTCCTCCAAAGAAGTGAACATCCATCCGGATGGGACAGATTCCATATTCTGGAATATTGATGAGGACATCCTTACCAGTGGGTGGGGCCTACAAGCTTAGCAGGTGCTGCACACACATGGGACTGCCTGCAGCCACCTGCTGCCCGTCCCTTCTCTCTCCCTTTCTCACTTTGTGGATCAAAGGAACTGTAAATCTGAGCTGAGTGGCCCAGGCAAGGCCTGGCACAGACTATGAGAACCCACTGCGGTGTCTCCTTTCTCTCGTCTTCTTGCCCTTAAGCAGCAGGCAGACCCAGGCCACCACTCAACTGGACAATGACATAAATGTACCAGCTTCTTTTGCTTAGAAACACAAGGTCTTTGGCATTCCTCAGGGGTACTCCCATTGAGTTTACAAGAAAGCCCTAGTTTGTGGTATCCTGCATTAGCCCAGATAACAACAGACTGGAATTCTAGCTTGTATCTCCCTCTATCTTGTTTTTCTCTATGTTCACTAGAGAACCAATCTCCCTGAGATAACAGATCCTGGACCAAAACCATCTATGCCCATCAGACAGTCCCTGGTTCCTAACACAGGGTAGAGTTGTTTTCTTTTTTCTTCCCTATGACCCGTAAGATAAGAAGATTCTGGCCTCTGTCCTGTCTCTATTTTCCCACCCAGATTTAGGCCAAGTAGGTGGGAACCTCTGAAGGCCAGTCAATGCTTTCTTTATAACTGAAAAATTCCCCTCCATCTTGTTAAGTGTGCTAAGATCTGGCACTTAGAATTGTGTAGTCCTAATCACAATCCAGTGCTAGAAGTTAATATGCTACCTTGCTCCTTGCCAAAATCTACCAGACTCCCATCTTTGAACACTAATGGGATGTTCACTCCATTTGTGTCTAGACAGGTAAGATAACCAGGCTCAGACTAAGCATACTTCTGTGAAGACTCGTTGTCCACAATTCATTCCGATACCAACTTTTAGTCAGTTGGAGTTTTGGGGTATGAGTAATCAAAACTGACACTGGCTAACTCAGGCAGAAAATCAACTTCTTAGATGTATGTTGGGTAACTCCCAGAATTTACAGGATGACCAAGGACTGAGATAAGAAAATAAGCAGTCTGGGCAGTAAGATCCTAAGCCCAGGTCATTCCACGGACCTCAGATCCATGGTATGTGGCCACCGATTTGGCAATATGTTCTTTCCATTCTGGTTTGAAAGGAGGGTCGGAAGGAGTTTTAGTTCCTGCATGACACATAAGCACACTCATTTACAGTTTTGTCTCGGGGTTATATTAACTCACCTGTCTTTTGTCATAAAATAGAAGAGATCTGGATCACCTGGACATCCCACAGAACATCACACCAATCCGTTACATTGGTGACATCATGGTGATTGGACAGGATGAACGAGAGCTGGCCAGCACACCTGCTGAAGAGGAATAATATTGACCCTCAACAACGGAGGAATCGTATTGACCCTCAATCTCAAGAGCATCATGACAACCCCAAGAAGCAATATATCAAAATGTACATACTGTATTTTTTCATTTCTGCAAAACTTTGATACCTGCAAAAAGAATCTGCAATAACAGGAAGCACATCAGTGACTGCCTGATGCTGTGGTTGGGGAGGAGATTATTTGCAAAGGGTATGAGGAAACTTCCTGGAGTGAAGGAAATGATTTATATTTTAATTGTAATTATGATTACATTGTTAAAACTCATCGAGCTAAACAGACACTTAAGATGAATGCATTTTTATGCCTCAGTAAAATTGAGCTAAAAAGGAATTATGCATAATTTTAGTAAATTCTCAGAACATGTATCATTGAAATAAACAGTTCAACTTTTCTCATTAGTACTGTATTCTCAAGCATGCATGGCTTAGATAAAAACATCTTTCATCTTTATTCACATCTTTTTCTAGTTTAATCATTTCTGTCTGATCTGGCATTGTTTCCTCACCTGCTTCCCCCCCCCCCCTTTGCCTTATCTATCTCTGGGGGCATCTAAAGGATGGGATTCTTGGTTCCAGGCTGGGATGTCCAATGTCCATGAGGGGGTTTTCTAGGGTAAGTGGAGGGCTTCAGGTAAATGAAGTGTGACAATTGTACAAAATGGTCTGATTCCCTCTCACTGCCCACACCCCTGCACCACCCAGTGCTGTATGCTACCGAGCACGGCAGAACCTTCTCAGCTGTGAGCACCACATTGTGTCCTGGGGCTCCCTCTATTACCACGGGCTTCCTGAGTCTCCTATGCTTCTGTCATCCTTACAGTGCTGACCTGCCAGCCCCAGGTCTGGGCCTGTTGCTCTAGAATATGCCTGGGTTGCTGGTGCCTCCATAACAAGCAGGGAAGGGCTCTCATTTGAGCCTGTGAGCCCTGGTTTCAAGCCTTCTTAGACCCCAGAACCGTTTCTCCCCTTTTTTCCCCCCGTGAGGAGTATAGGTGTCCTGGTAAGGGGAGCTCATGGGTAGAGCACATTTGAGAATTATTGATTTAAATAAAGTTAAACAGCTTTCTGTGTTCTCACAGACCTTGCATGCCAATGTACATAAGGAATCTTTAAAGGGTGTTTGGAGGGGGTATTCTGCCTTCCCTGAAGTGGCTGTCTGGAGTCTTCTCCTTGTCCCAGCTCTTAGACCTGGCTTCCTCACACCCCCTGCTCCCAAATGTCTGCCTGGCCCCTGGTCACTTTCCTGCCCAGAAGTCTCCCTACCTTTACATGATTTCAGATTTTTTTTTAATTTTAAAGATTTTTATTTATTTATTTGACAGACGGAGATCACAAGTAGGCAGAGAGGCAGGCAGAGAGAGAGATGGGGAAGCAGGCTCCCTGGCAAGCAGAAAGCCCGATGCGGGGCTCGATCCCAGGACCCTGAGATCATGACCTGAGCTGAAGGCAGAGGCTTTAACCCACTGAGCCACCCAGGCATCCCATGATTTCAGATTATATTCAGGTTCCCTTTTATCTCAACTTTCTCAGACAATAATTTTATCCTGACAAATTATGGGCATTTCTGAGTTACCTCCCCTCCCCTTTGGTTTCCATTTGTTTTTTGAAGTTTGATGGTTTCTAGTAAATTCATTCAGTTGTATAACCATCACCACACTTCAGTTTGGAAACATTTTCATACCCCCAAAATTACAAAAGGAGAACAAGTCCTGGGGAAATAGAAGTGGGTAAGGAAGCATACAGATGGTAGATTCCCAGCTCCCTCCCATGGCCCCTGGGGCTGGACCCTAATGCCTCCTCCCTCCTGCCCAGCCCTCCCCAGGCTGATCCAGATGGCAGCACTCCCCACCTCCCCCAAATGCCCCCGAGAACCTCACAAGTATCTGGACGGAGATGGAGGAAGGCAGCAAGCACTGTCTTCAGCTTCCTGCACGATCTGCTCCAAATACTTTCACTTTTCTTTTCTCCGGAAGCCTGGCCCTCACTGCATGTGGCAAAGCACAGACTTCCTGTTTCACCCCTGGCATCCCCCTGCTGTTCTCTCGTCTTCCAGGAGTGATTCCTGGCCCAGACCCTGGACCCGGAAAGGGGCAGAGCAGGTTGGCAGACCCAGCATCCAGGTGGGTTTTTGTCTTGGCTGCTTTATTCTTCAAGTTTGGTGATTGGGTTCGGATAGCTGATTTCCCAGCAGCAGCTACAGGATAGAACCAACTACTCAAACTGTGAGCCTCTCTCTTTGTAAAATATTGTCTTCCAAACATAGAGAGCAAAGTGGGATTTAACCAGAGACTCTGAAAAAGGGGGACAGACGTGGGAGTAGTGGGGGAGCAGAGACACAGCTCAACACTTTTTTTCCTAAATTCTAGCCTGTTGTTGTGGATGGAACCAAGATTTGCTCTCTACTCTCCTCTTTGTGCTCTGTGATTTGCACTCTGCCCCAAATGGGCAACTTATTTATTATCCATGGTGCAAGTGACTAGAGGTAGTTGGTGGGAAAGAGACAATAAAGAGAAAACATTTAATTTCCTCTCTAGTGTTTCATGAACTTTTTATATATTTTTCTTAAGTATATTTATGATTGGTTCCTTGAAATAAATTCCTGAAAATGGAATTTGGAACTCAATGGAATACATGCTTTAGAGCATCTGACACTGATGGCTAAATTAGCCTCCAGAACATTTGGACCTGTTTATATTTTCACCAGGAGCATTTGTGATTATTGCTTTTATTCTTTATATGGAAAAATTTAATAGGCAAACATTATTTAGTTTTCGGGATGCCTGGGTGTTTCAGTGGTTAAGCATCTGCTTTCTGCTCAGGTCATGATCCCGGGGTCCTGGGATCAAATCTGGCATTGGGATCCTTGCTCAGCAGGGAGCCTGCTTCTCCCTCTGCCTGCTTTGCCTGCTGCTCCCCCTGCTTGTGCGCACGCTCTCTCTCTCACTCTCTCTCTCTCTCTGACAAATAAAATCTTTATAGAAAATTATTACATTGTCTTCTTTTGTACTGTCCCAACTACTAGTGAATTTCCATGTTTTTATATATTTATTGCACACTTGACTTAATTGCCTGTTTATGCCTTTTGCTTTTTTTCTATGTGGATGTTTATCTATTGCTTATTCATTTTTAAGACTGCTTTACATGATAAAAATCTGAACACTTGCATACAAGACCCAGTATCATGCACCAGTAAAAAATGGGGCTTAGGGTCGCCTGGATGGCTCAGTAGATTAAGCCTCTGCCTTCGGCTCAGGTCGTGATCTCAGAGTCCTGGGATTGAGCCCCCCACATTGGGCTCTCTGCTCAGCGGGAAGCCTGCTTCCCCCTCTCTCTCTGCCTATCTCTCTACCTACTTGTGATCTCTGTCTGTGTCAAATAAATACAATCTTTAAAAATATATACATATGTTAAAAAAAAAATGGGGCTTTAGTCAGACAAGCTCTGCTTTACCGACCTTAGGCTAGTTACTTAACCTCTCTGTGCCTTGCTTCCATTCTTGAGAATCATAAGAGACGAAGAAAAAGGAACCTAGTGGATATTATGTTCTGAATGCTGTAGTATAATTAATCTTCCTAAATGTAACCCCAGGGCCACTTCCTCTTCTTACCACCTGTTCATTCTGGCTTTCTCTTACTCTGTGCTGATCTTTGAAGTATCCTTCCCCATTGGATGGATTCTGTCTGTATCAGGGATTCTAGATCTCCCTTCCACCTGTTCTCAGTCTTCCAGGATTTCTTCACAATTATAGATCTCCCATGGTGTCTTTTCTTTCTCAGGACTGTTATGGATTATCCTATTTTTACGATATGTTTCTTTTTTCCTGTCAAACTTACAGGATGTGGGAATGAGTAGAGAGAGCAGGGATGCTCTGTCTACCACTGGTATTAGCCCTGGAACAGTCATTACTTACAGTTTAACTTTCAATCATACACAAAATGAAGTTGGAAAGTTGGAATCTCTGTTTTGTTTTAAAAAAAAAATCTCTGGGTGGTTGATTTTTTTTGTTAGTACTCTTCTTGACAATTTGTCAGGAATGTCATCTGTAAGTTTGCTACCTATTATAACATGAATATTTTCTCCTGGCCTATCATAGCTAATTTTTATAAATGTCGCATTAGCATGGGAAAGGCCCATGTCTGTTCTGAGATATGAAATTGATACATATAATAAATCAGTTACATTGCCTTTATTAATCATGTCTTTCATGTCTTTCACATCTGTTTATGTTTGTCTTGCTTCTGTGTCAAAGATTATAGGTGGATTACTACAGTTCCTACATATTATCAGGTTTTCATCTTTCTACTCATTACCGGGTGGTCCCTCTTTACGAGCTTTGTTAGTGTTTGCCTTAAGTGACTGCTCAGGCAATCTTAACTCCTTCCAATGTAGCCATGGACGATAGAACTTATGACCATAAACCTAGAAACAAAAAGTCGGAATTTGTTTCCTTTCTACCACTTCCAAGTCATATGATTTAGGGCAAGATAGTAAACACCTCTATGTCTCAGTGTCCTTCACAATATAATGGGTAATCACAGTAACCATCTTGCAAGTGTTTTGTGAAGCTCAAATAAGCTAGTGCACGTGAAACCCTTAGAACAAAGTTTGGCACATAGGAAGTACTCAATAGATATTGGCTATTTGAAATCTGTTTTATGTTTACCAGCAGCCCCTTTGGGATTTCAGCATCATATTCTTGGTCGCTTTCCATCTCCACGGTCGCTGGATGTCGTTATTACCTCCTATGCCCATGAGCCTTTGAGGCAGGCATTTTGCTTTGCAGACTGCTCAGGGCTGCCTTTGGGACCAGGATGCTCGTCTGAAGATGGCTACTAAGTGCAGAGAGCAGCTCCCCGAATTCCCAGAGTCTTTCTTCTCTTCTCATGCCTCTTTCATAGGATGCTCACCATGACCAGGGCCTTAGAAGAGGCTCTTCTCCAGCACTTCATATACCAGAAGCTGGAAACTGCTTATGCCATATATAAGCCATTTCCCTTTCTCGAAGGCTTCCGAGACAATTCCTTCATCACGGAGACAATGTACAGGGTGAGTCATGCTGCCTGCTTTCCCATGTCAGCCCAGGCTCACCAAGGAGTCCCCATCACTGAAGTTACAAGCCCCAAACTCCTAGGGCTTCTGGAGCTCAAAAGACCTATTCCCAAAGGCTCATTGTGAGGGAAAGATGGGGTCACAGGGCCTGCCATACAAATGACCTCGACCAACATTATTCGAAACAAGAGAAATGTATTGTCTCACAGTTTTGGAAACCAGAAGTACAAAATCAACGTGTTGGCAGGGTTGGTTCCTTCTTGAGGCTCTGAGAGAGCATCCGTTCCCTAACTCTCTTGCCTTCTAGTGGTACCAGCAACCTTTGTGTTCCTGGGCCTATAGAAAAATCACCTATAATCGTGGTTTCAATCTCCACATCAGGCTCTACATGACCTTTTCTTATCCTTGTCTTTTCTCCTTCTCTCCTTTTATAAGGACATTGGTCATTGTGATTTAGAGCCCACTCTAGTCCAGGGTAATCTCATCTCAAGATCCTAATTTTATTACATCTGCAAAGACCCTTTTTGCAAATAAGGTCACATTTATAGGGTTCAGGTGGACATGCCTTTTTGGAGGAGTGACACCATTCAACCCACAAAGGGTACCCTCCCAGTTCCTAAGAGCTTGTTGAGCACAATCCATTCAGATGTGAAGCAAAGCAGGCATTGGAAGATACGACTATGCAGACAAAAAGGGCATTCTTTTATAATCTGGGGGTTTTCTTAATGCATTTCCTGAGCACCAGTCCCAGGGAAGTGCATCAGTGGTTGAACGATCTTCTCCCAGTCTCGGCCTGGTTGGTTCCAACCCCTCTTCACATCACAGCCCAGATGTCACTACTCAGAGAGACTTCCTCAACCCACTCATCCAATTGATTTCTCCAAGAAATCTATGCTTTCTTTTCATAACAATTTTCTCAATAGCAACTGGGCATTTCTTTAATTTGTTTATTATTTAATACCTATCTTCTCCACCTGACAGTGTCCCTCGCTCAGCATGGGTAGCACCATGTTTATCTTATCCATTGCTTTCTACCCAAGGACTAGTCTAGTAGGTGCTCAGTGTTATGTTGTTAATTTTCCTGCCATGTTTCTCCTTTTGGCCAGCTTCTCCTGAAGAAGAGTTCTCTGGATGACTTCTCTGTGGCTAGAACCCATTCAAGCTATCCCAAGTCCAAGAGATAGAACAGAGGCTAACAAGCAATTGCAGAATTGCCCCCTTGTGACCAACATCTTGATCCATTGCTACAGAGTTCTGCCCAGAGCCTTGGAGAATTAATGACGCAGTAGCAGCCTCGACTCCCCTTTTCCTTCCCTAAAATTTCTCTCTTCCCTCAAATGTACCTAAAATAAGGTTCACAAAGCAAACTTATTTTAAAACTTATTTATTCCTATGACTAACAATCCAAATGTATGTGAGGTTCTAAAAGTAAACATGTGGAACTGTAACTTTTCTATGTTAGAGTTTAACCATGCATTTGTGCTGAATTCCTTCTTAGCAGAACAGAATACCATTCCTACAACTCAGAAAACCATAAATGTGTAATAAACTTCCATTCTGTTTTATAATCATTTATAATAATCCTCGACTCCATTTTTTAAGGAATCCTTGGAAGCCTGTAGAAATCAGGTCCCTGTACCCAGAGTAGTATACAACATCCTCACCCACCTGGAAAAGACCTTCAGTCTGTCGATTCTGAAGACATTGTTCAGCCGAATTAACCTGCGTGAATATCCCAGTCTGACAACTATTCTCAAGGGCTTCAGAAGAGGTACGAGGCTTCTTGAATATCTTTTGGGCTATAAAGGCATGCCAGAAGCTGCTATGGTCAAAGTTTGGGTTGGCTTTCAGCCCCCTGCAATTATGCACTTATAGTGCCGGGTTCTCTGGAGAGATAGGGAGCGTACTCTGTCACGGGTGCACCAGG